ATGGTATATTCAAGATGGTTAGGATAGATATATAGTTGCATTCTCTTAATGAATAGCGGGATTTGTTCTAATGGTGTTTGTAAATAGGATATCAAGTCCGCATCTTGTACAGCAATTAACCACTAGGAAGAATGTGTGCAATGTGTTAATTACTGAAACTGTCCTACCAATTTGGTTTGAAACTGTCCCATTGCTATTTGTTTCTCATTAAAATTATGGGGGAAAAAAGACTATAGAAAATGGAGAGATTAATTTTACCTAATGGTAAGGGAATCCTTTATAGAAGTAAAATTTGGATAGAGTTTCCAAATGTGACTGATTTTTCTAAGTAGAGAGAAGAAGATCTGGAAGGTGGCCTGAAAATGGGACTTCATGTAGTCTTCTCCCCCCACCCCCGCTTTTATTTGGTACAGGGTATCACTGGGCAGCTTGGACTTGTAGTGACCCTCCTGTTTTCCGCCTCCTCAGCACTAGGATTACAGACATGCACTACTATGCTGGGACTCGGAGGCTGGCTCAGTGCACCCAGGGATGGGGCCAGCACAGCATGTGGGACCAGGGATTGAGCCTTGGTCCCTACGCTTGCCAAAGCAAGTGCTTAGTCCACTGAGCTATCTCACCAGCCCTCATGTAGTCTTGATTGATGGAGAGTGTCTTAGTTACTCTTCTTGTTGGTGAGACAAAATACCTGATACCCAAAGTTAAAGAAGGAAAGGTTTATTTAACTCACAGTTTATAGAGGTTTCAGTCCATAATTTGCTGCCTCTAAGGCAGGGTGGTACATGGCAAAGGGGCAATAGTTCATGGCGGCAGAAGATAACAAAAGCAACAAGCAAGAGCAAAAAAGGGGGAAACAAGCCTCTTTCTGTCCCTTTTATCTTATCTAGACTGCTGGGACTAGAATGGTGCCAATACAACTAGTGGAGTCATCACCTAGCAGTCACCCAGCTTTAATCCCAGCACTGCACTATGAATTAATCACAAACTGGAGATTTAGCTACCTCCAAAAAAGCCCACCTAGGCCAGGGGATAGCTTGGCGGTCTAAGCGCCTGCCTGGCAAATGCAAGGACCCAGATTTGATCCGTGGTACTGTGTGCAGTGCTGACCTTGGAGCCCCGTGTTGGTTTCCTGCATGGTGGCTCATGCCTATAATCCCAGTGCTACGGAGGCTGAGACAGAAGGATCACTAAGACTCTGAGATGCATAACGAGACCCTGTACCAAATGAATGAATAAATAAATAAATAAATAATTGTGAAAGAAAATTTAAGAAAGTAAAGCAGAAGCTAGAAACTTAAAACCTTATAATGGAAGATCTATATTCAACTCAGATTATTTGGCTAGAAAGAAAGCTGGTAACATCTCAAAATCACATTTTGTCTTACCCTGAACAGGCACTCTCGATTATAAAGTGTGTGACCTGTGCTATTCTAGATCAAGATAAATAGAAATCTGAATAATAAATTTAAAAACCTCATGAAATATGAATATAACAAGGTAGGAAATAACAAGGATGTCTCAGAACCATTTTTTTAATAGTGACAAAGAGTTGGGATGCATATGTATTCATCCCAGAATGTTCTTTCTCCTATTAGAAAGATTAAAGGTTGGTTTTTATCCTGTTCACATGGGCTATGCGGACTGGCTGCCCCACCTTCCAACTGCAAATAGTCTGCAATTGTACTTCATATGAAGGCAGAGCTACCAGCACCTGAATTGAATTCTCCCATGGCGATCACCATGACACTGCAGTTAAGACAAACATTACAGTTTCAGAAAAGCTACTGATCATGGAAGTATTGCTTGTTCCTTAGCATCTGTTTATTGACTGTCTGTATAGTTATTTTTAGTTGAATAAACATTTTTTTTACTGCTTCTTGTTTGATTAAGGAGATCAGGGAGATAATACCAAAGCAAAAGATGGAGAAGTAAAGTCAGTAGAGTCCAAGGGCCTTTTCAGTAGGTTTAGAATACCTGTAGGAGTACAGGGGGCACACAGACAATGACCCAGACACAAAGAACTTTTAGTGCAGGGAATAACAGGAGTAAAGACTTCCCAGAATCTGGATGTTCTGGTGTGGGGTTTTTGTTCCTGTTTTGTTTTGTTTTGTTTTGTTTTGAGCGGGGTCTTGCTATGTAATTCAGGCTGGCCTCAAACTCAGAGCAGTTCTTCTGCTTCAGCTTCCCAAGTGCTAAAATTACAGGTGTGCTCCACCATGCCTGGCGTATTTTGATATTATTACCGGCTCTTATGTGCAGCAAAAAACTACTAACCCTTACCTCCTTAGGTTGGCTTTTTTTCGTTTTTGAGTAACCTTATAAGAACTAAAATGTGTGAACTTTTATGACACTGGGAATAAACTGTAGTTTGATGACTGTTAGTTATTGGGGGCCAGCAAAATAGTTCAGCAGATTAAAGTACCTGCTTAGGCAGACACAGGGGCTGGGAGTTCAATCCCGGGCCTGCCTGCCAGCAATTGAGACTGGGCGTGGTGGAGCATACCTGTAATCCCAGCTCTTGGGAGGCTGTAAACAGGCTGATCACTACAAGTCCAATCTAATAGTGAGACTCTGAACACCCTGTAGACCTTGTCCTAAAAATTTTTTTAAAATGTATTTTAATTCTTATTTGTCAAATTATATTTCTTTATCACCAAGTATGTTTTTATGTGCATCTCAATAATTATATTAAACTCTTCCTATAATAAAATATATGCAAATAAGAATTGCTCTTGATTTTCCAATTTTCAGTTTGTTATTATACTGTTTAGAACAGTATCTTAAATGATTCATTAAAATATTTGGTAATTTCATTAGAATATTTATAACTTATAAATCTTATTAAACATTTTATTTTATTGTAGGTCTAAACTTAGTCTTTTTCAATCAAGAATCAGTCTGCAGAAGGCAAGCGTAAAGGTAAGTTTTTAAAAGGTGTATTACTCAATTGAGAAACCGCCTTAGCTTATAAAATAATTAGATCCTTCTAGGATGTAGGTGGGTTATTTCTACCTTAGAGAAGATTTTAAAGTTACTAACTCTGAAAGAAACCTTCCTTCCCTATGCATTGTTGTGTTGTGTGGTGTTTTGTTTTACCCAAGTATTAAAAATTTTGGATATCAACTCGCTTTAATACGTTTCCCTGCCATACATGTTCAGGTAGTCTGTGTCATTAATTCTTAGTCACACAGAGTTGGGGCATTAGGAAGCCCTACACAATCATTTCGTCCAGACTGAGATTCCTCAGCATGTGTGCCGGGCTTGTGCAAGTGAGTTATCCTGGCGAACCCTCAAGTTGTGGAATATTAGATAAATGAGCTAAGTGACTTGGTGTTGCGGCCGAGTTCCCTGCCAACAGTTCTTCTGGCATGTTGGGAGTGGTTTTTTTTTTTTTAACTGTTGTTTTTTAAAAACTGTTTTTTAACTCTTTTAGTGTTGCCCATATGTCTTCAAAGAGAAGACACTTAATTTAAAAAAATTCTCAGCTAAGTAAAATGAACATAACATTTTGAAGATTTCTAGAAAGCTTTGAAAGTATGTTAATAACTGCCAAAGTGTAAGTTATTTATACCCCTCACATATAAATAACAAATAATTGAAAATGCTCTTCTCATTTATTGAGTCAGTTTCATTCCCAATAACTTTATATGCATATAAATACTTTTCCACATAGTTCTGTCTTACTCTTGGTAGGATGCCACTAATTGCTGACTGAGAGTAGTCTTCTGTGTTTTGCAGTGTGATATCACTTTATTTTTCTTTTACTGTGTTTTAGTTAAAAGCCCGGCGATCTGAGTGTAATTCCAAAGCTACTCATGCGAGGAATGATTATCTTCTTACTCTAGCAGCAGCAAATGCACATCAGGATCGCTACTATCAAACAGATTTAGTTAACGTTATGAAGGTAATACACTTTTAATATCTCTGTAATTTTATTTCATTAAAACCAAAACAGCTTATGATCTGGGTGTAAGGTATACAGGATTGAATATATTGAAGGTAGCAAGGCTGTTTTACATTGTTGTGGTTTGAATAATCTCTGTTTTAGACAGTTTGGAATCAATTTTTAGTATAAGAAAATGTTTAAAGCCAAATTATAATAAGATATTGTTGTATTACTTAGCCACAGCAAATATTTGCTGAAGATTGTTAAGATAAGATTAATATACTGTATGATATAAGAGATAGAAACTCCTAAGCCGAGAAACTGTTTTTGAACCATTTTTTAAGATTTAGTTCATATAAATCAGTAAAATATTGAAGCGAGGCACAATCTTCAGTTATTTTCCTCTGGACAGAATCATCAGAGAAAGGCTAAGATTTCACTGTAGCTTTATCTTTTGTTAAGTTTTAACCTTTATTTCCTGAAAAAGTGTATTTTTATTAAATATACTTTAGAGTACATCATGACTAAGCTGAATTTTTTACTAACCAGAATTTTGGTTATTAACCATATGATTATTTTGTAATTAAAAAAAAAGTTAAAATTTTCATAACAGGGACGGCCAGCAGACTAGGCAGGTGCAGGGACTGGGTTTTGATCCCTAGCATGCCATCTTGGCCCTGCCCCGGGGACATGCTGAGAGGGTGCCTGAGATTGGGCGTGGTGGCGTGCCCCTATAATCCCAGCACTTATGAGGCTGAAAACAGGAGGATCACTATGAGTCTGACCTGTGTAGTGAGACCCTATAGACCTTGTACTAAAAATCATAACATTAATAGGTGAAGTTAGCATTAATGTTTGGTGATTTTGAAATGTTTACAGGAAAATAAAATGTCAATGATTATATGACAATATCTGCGCTTTGGGTATTACTCTGAAATGCAGGTGGATTAGATTCAGTGTGTCTTCTTGAGCTTCACCATGGTTTCCCCCATTTATTCTGCATTTAGTTTTAACTTTCACTGAAGTAAAGGGAATGGGGTGAAGAAGAAGAAAACTGTTTTAACACTTTGGATTCCATTTCATTCTTGGCCAATTGCTCAAGAACTAAAACGCTGAATTACTATGTCTTTCTCTTATGTGTTCAACTCACCCCTCTAAAATGTTCATGACTGTCCAATAAGCACATTGCTGTCCCTGAATTGCTTAATTTAGGAATCAGCAGTTGACAATGGATGTAGCTGAAGTAGGCATTCTGGTTTTGTTTTGTTTTGTTTTGTTTCCTAGAGGCTCTGGTAAAGAGATCAGCTTGGTTCATAAACTACAAGTTCATTCCTTGAAAGTACAAGCAGGGTATTTCCTGGGACTTTCAGGAAAATACAAGAATATTAATGGGTGTCAAACTGGACTAAAAAGTATTTTATTACAAAACTTTTTTCTTTTTATTTATTGCCTGAAATCCCCCTTTCCAGTCATCTATCCTGTTGTGACTTGTGCTGATTTGAATACAGGTTAAAATAGCAAGATGGGGAATTGCTTTGATATCCAGATAAGAAATTTTTAGACCTTTTCTCACAAAGTATTGAATTAGAAATTTAGATACTTGCTTATTAGGTGTTATGTAATGCTTTGAACTTATAAGGACATATAAGTCCCAACAATGTGTATTCTCAGTTTCTTTTTTCTTTTTTTTTTTTTTTTTCTTCAATATTTGCAATTTTATTGGTTGTGTTGAGGATCCATATACATGACTCACTTTGTACACAATTCTTAACACACATACCAAAAAAAGTCATGTATTGTTTTTCAGTTGTTCCAGTGACTTTCCAGCTTCAAATTTAGAGGCAAATTTTCTGTAAGAGGATTAAGTACCAGTATCTTCAAATGCTGACAAAGTGTTACTTAAGTCCTACCAGTTCACAATCTTGTATCACATACACTACATATTCAAATTTTTGATCTTTTACAGCACATTAACAAAATGAGGCAAACCGGACTACCACTACCAAAGACATTACAGAGTGCACACGATTCTGACAGGGGCAACAATTAGAATGTAGTTTTCTTCAGGAAACAATTCTACTAAAAACATGGGAATAGAAGCCATTTAAAGTATCCAAGACATATTAAATGCAGGACTGTAATTCCACTTGCCATTTAGTATGCTTCGTATTGCAGGATATAAAACTAACCCCCACCTATGGAATGTTAAGCTGACACCCAAGGCAGTCAAAGCCTGCCATAATTCAATATCTCACTATTTCTGGTTGTACCAAAAAATAACCAGAGAATGATTTCACCCTAAAAAAAAAAAAATCATTTACACTTAAAAAATGCTATGAGGTGGGATTCCCTCCTTTTAAAAAATGTTTCTAGAACTTGCATTTACAAAATAGTTGATAAAAATATTCCTCTGGATTGTACAAGAAGAGAGACAGGGAGCACTGATAAGACACGGTGTGTGATTAATCAGTTTTGGCTTCTTTCACTTCTACTTCATCAGAGGCTGTGCTTTCCTCATTTTTAGTTTCTCCATTTTCCGAAGGTAAATCTTTCTTGGTTTCTTGATTAGCCACTTCAGCCTGTTTTCCCTTGGCTCCCCTTTTCCCTTTTCCTTGTACTTTTTTGTCCGAAGATTTATCCTTTCCCGCTGCCTTTTTTTGGCTTCGTTTCCTCTTTAGCTGGAACAATTTTAGCTGACACCCTCACCGATCTCTTCCGCTCCTCCTTCGCCACCCCTTGGGCCCAGCTGACCTTCCTCTTGGGCATCTTTGAGGGGCGCGGGGCGCAGGATGCGTGTGTGCGTGCGGAAGCTGCTGGTCGAGGCGCGCAGGAGCCTCGTGGAGCTACGCAGCTGGACAGACCGCTGCCGTTACTCCCTCGGCCAGAGCTGCTGGAACCCCTCTCAGTTTCAAGCAATGTGTTAACTAAAGCCTTTTTTTTTTTTTTTTTTAGCATAGCTTGTACTTTTTTAAAATTAATTTTATTGAGAAACAAATAGCAATGAGACAGTTTCAAAACAGATTAGTAGGACATGTACAATAATTAATACATTGCATATTGTTGTCTTCATAGTAGTTATTCATAGTACAAGATGCAGACATGATATCATGTCTAAACAATATTAGTACAAATATTGCTTCTCATTGAATTAAGAGAAAGTAGCTGTATATCTATCATAACTATTTTGTATATACAGATACAAAATGTTTCTTCATTTGTATCCCCC